CATTTTATCAGCTTTTCACAGATTTCTTGTTTTTGGTCGTCAAATCCTTTTCCGCGTGAACGGTATGCAATATGATTTGTTCTGTGGAATGTTCGAAATTTTAAAAAACGCAGAAATCTGCACTCAGAGGAAGCAGAATATTTAAGTACATCTAGCAACTGGTAGGAAATTCAAAAGAACAGCTATTTTATTCTGGCTGTCACGCAGATTGGGGGTTTCCGAGGGAACAAAAAGAATAGAATAGAAATGAATTTACAACATCAGCCATTGACTTCGAGCGTTGGTTCATGCGTCTGGAGACAAGATCAGAATTTGTATTCCAAATGATCAGTTCTCCGTCGTAAGAGGCTGTTATCAGGTTGTGAGGAGGTAATGCACAGCCAGCCATGACGTCGTCTTGGTGTTCCTGAAAAGCCGACAAAAAATTCCCGTAAGTCTGCCTTTAATGAGAAATTTTGGACCTCCTCCACCAACATGCTGTTACATATCCGAAGAGGTAGGTATAAAACATGCGAAGTGGCTCCATTTAAGGCTTTCACCCACATGTATCATCACTGGACTCGTTGTGAAAACTTGTGCTTCCATTTTTATTAAAATGTTCCACCTTTCTAGTTTTGTGTTGTTTATGCCATCAAGAAAAGTTCATCCTTCGACTTTTTTGCCACCCTTAAGTCAAAGCTTTTACGTTTCTAAAAACATTTTTCTACCAATCGCCGATGCAGAATGTAGTGATGACCGCTTGTCTTAACCGAATAAAATATTTACACTTTTTACACCTAGGGACAGGATCCACTGCTCGAAGTACTCACTTCACCTCTTTTTCCTTTTGAAGTACCTAACTTTATCTTAGTGGCGTAATCACACAAAGTTCGATGATCCCTTGGGAAGTGCTTGTCACTTCGGCCACATTCATATTTTTTAGGAAGCATGTAGCGAAACGAATGTTGAGAATATTTCATCCTTTTTTGTTATTCTGGGTCACCTTATCACTAGATACTCACCAACCTTTTTCTTCAACATATTCCACACTTACCACACACAAGGTTCATGATATGTTCGTAAAATAAACATCTTCTTTCCTTTTAAGGTGCTTTTCAGCTTAAAGCTTGCAGCATTTACGAATCTCCATAAAAACTGTTCTACTGAATCCAAATTAAATAGAAATTTTGCAATATAAAAATTTCGCACCCATTATATGCGAAACAAATCTCTACCAGCATGCAGCAACGTAGTAGTCGAGGTTTGGTGTTCTCGCGTTTGGACGATCCCACTACTTAGAAAGTAAAAAATTGCTGTTCCAAACAGTTTACGCTTACCGGTGCGCCCTTCCACTCCGATGGAAAGACGTAGTGCTCATCGAAGTTTGTCATTTTAAACGCCGTAAAGTGCTTTGAATTGCCCATAACAATGACGGCCCGCCGAAGTATGACGATATGACTAATGTCAGTCACAGCGTTTGTGAAACAGATGAGCGTATGATGACAATGTGCATTCATATCCCAAACCTAGCAGGCATAAAAACGCGAAAGAGTGTATCGTTAAAAGAAAGACCTGAAGAAATATGTCAGTACAAATGTAAAAAAACGTCCTACTACCCACTTAATATGATCGGCACTTTTGTGCTTTGCTGACTAAATGA